TTGTTTTACAAATACAGCTGTTTCCAGTATATACATGGAGGGCAATGTTAATATTTTTAGTGATTTGAAGTGTGCAATACAGCTGTCTGTGGTCTTCAGACCACACATTGACCTTAAACATCTTTTTTGCATTCTAAACACAAGCTCTCTATCTGTAGACTGCCCCCAAAATATAATGCCATAGCGTAATACCGAGGCAACGAATCCATGGTATGCTGCAAGAAGAGCCTGAAGGTTTACTTTTTTTGAAAGTTGGAAAAGCGCGTATGCGGATTTACTTAACCTTTTACATAACTCCTCAACATGAGGCTTCCAACTGAGGACGTCGTCAATGACTATACCCAAGAACTTGGCTTTATTTGCTTGCTCAATACAACGGTTTTCATACGCGATTTTAATATTTTCTTGATGACGACGCTGATGAAAGTGCATAACCTTTGTTTTGTTTAAGTTAATTACTAAATTATTTTTGTTAAGCCAATTGATGATATCATATAAGCATTTATTGATCTCATTTTCATAGTCGAGTTCATTTTTACATTTTATGATGACTGTACTGTCGTCTGCAAATAGGACCATTTTGTGTGATGTAGTTTTCGGTAAATCATTAATATATATCAGAAAAAGTAACGGCCCAAGAACGCTGCCCTGAGGGACGCCATATTTAATATGTCTTCGTTTTGATAAATATGTCGTTTCTAGCTTACTCCTCGGACATAGCCCACTGATCTCCGTATACTGAGTTCTGTCGCTGAGGTACGATTTCAAAAGTTGAAGGACGTTTCCTCGGACACCATAACTGTGTAATTTATTTAACAAGATATTGTGATCCACATAATCAAAGGCTTTAGTCATATCCGTGTATATTGCGCAAACTGGATTTCTTTTATCTACACATGTTACAATATCGTCTAGGAAGTCAAATACCGCCATGTTTACTGTAGTGTTTTTCCGAAATCCCTTCTGCTCGTCACAAAATAAGTGGTATTTATCAAAATAGTCATACAGGGAGTTATATATAACTTTCTCTATAATCTTTGAGAGTATAGGTATCTTAGCAATTGGCCTATAATTTTTTAAACATGTTTTACTATCCCTTTTATGTAGTGGTTTTATAATTGTATTTTTTAGTTTTATTGGAAATATTCCATCTGTTATACACATGTTAATTATGTGTGCTAGATGTGGGGCTATTATTTCTTTTACGTGTTTAATAGCTTTTGTCGACGTTCCGTCATAGCCTACCGTATTAGTATTTTTAAGATTACATATTATATTAATTATGTCTTTATCTGTTACTGATTGCATAAATAGTGAATTAGATGTCCATTTTATAGAATTATTATTGTAAGAATTAATATCATTATTAATATTATTTTCAATTTCATCAACAAAATAATTATTAAATTCATTAGCAATATCTTCTGGGTGCGTTACCACATCATCACCTTTTTCTAAGCATATTATTGACTCTCGTGGCATGCACAGCTTTGACTTATTTATTATTTGCCAAGTAGCCTTCGATTTGTTTTGAGAGGTATGTATAAAGTGGTTATTTTGTGCTTTTTGGGTAAGTTTGATAATTTTTTTATATAGTTTTGTATATGTTTTTAAAGCTATTCTATTACTGTGGTTAGGATTTAATCTGTAAGTCCAAAGTAGTTTCCTTTGTTTCTTACTGCATAGTTTTATTCCATAAGATAGCCATTTAGTTGCTTTGTTGGTCTTAATAGTTACAATTTTTTCTGGAAAACATAAATTATAAAGTAGTAAAAAATCGTCAAAAAAGAAGTCAAAGGCTTCATTGGCATTCTTGGCATTATATATTTCAGTAAAAGATAAACAGCTTAGATGGTATTTAAAATTTGTTAAATTTTCAATAGACTGATCCCGTTTTTTAATTTTCCAAAACTTAAGTTTACATACCTTATTGACAGGGACTTTAAGTATAATGGATGCATGATCCGACAAAATGAGATCTAAAACTTCAGTTTTGCATCCTTTCATGATATTATGGGCGAAATTATCGATGCAAGTCTGACTGCTTAATCTAGTTGGTGTAAAAAGTGTTAGCTGCAGATTGTATTGGTTTAGAAAATTTTTAAATTCCGAAGTAGTTTTATTATTTTTTAAAATGTCAATATTAAAGTCTCCGCACAAAATTATTTTTTTGTTAAATGAACGATAAAAGTAAGTTAGTATTAAGTCTAATTTTTCATAAAATATTGAGTAATTATATTTCGGAACCCTATATAAACAAATAATAATAATATTATGAGCTGGTATTTCTACTGCGCAGAACTCAATGACGCCCGAAACAGATTGTCTTGCTGCATATGATATTTCCTTAAAGTGCAACCCTGCTCTAACGAGAATGCAAGTACCACCACGTTTAGAATTCCTACAAAAGAATGCAGCCGGGCAATAGTTTGAAATGTGTAGTTGATCCAGATAACCATTCTCAATGAAGTGCTCTGTAATGCAAATGACATCCACAGTAGTACCTGTGTTAGATAGTTCGTCTAGTTTAATAGTAAGTGAGTCGGATTTACTAATTAATCCCGCTATATTTTGGTGTAGTATAGTAAGGTAGTTAAAGAAAAAACTGACTATCGGCTTGGTGTAATTTTAAAGATGAATCATTTTGATATTCGAGGGAGCAGTCAACATTTGAGTGTGTGTTATTTTGGATGCTTAGTTCATTGATTAGGTCTTGTAAATCTGATAAAATAATCCTCAAACCTCTATTATTTAGAGTTCCGTAACGTTTGTTATATGTCTCAGAGCTATATGGCAAATTAAGATTTGAATCCAAAATATAAGCATAATTATAGGTACATACATCCATGCAAAGTAAGTTACTGAATGTTTCAATGCGGCTATTAAACATTACATTGACATTCTCCATATATTTGTAAGTTGGCAGACATATTATAAAGTTTGTGTGATGTAGTGGCAACAGTTTTTGTCTAATAAACGTAACAAGCTCAATATAGTTTCGTGTTGTTCGAAAGTCTTCTTCGCCAATATAAACAATGCAACAATCTGACAATGTAAACTCCTGTACTTTTTTTTCTATCTGGTCCAAAATTTGTTCTACCCCGCATTTAGGTTTTCGGAAATGACACATTCGATAATTACATAAATCAGTTCTTTCTGCAATATTATATAATCTGTTGGAGGTTTCACTGCTTATTACACACAATTGGTGTTTTTTCGTGGTATTTTTCATTACTTTGCCTGGTGTGACTTGATTTACTGTATTATTATCTAATCCAGTGTGTTTAGTGTTTAATTTCATTTGGCCGCTACTTGTAGTTGTAGATGGCGGTGGGTAGTTTTTAATATTTTCGTGCGTTTGTGTTTGCTTTGTTGCTGTCCTTTTGGTTTTCTGTGATATTGGTGTAGTTGCTTTAATCTTAGCTGGACTGCTCACAATTTTTTTGTAGACATCATGTTTTTTAGCATATTCTGCATTACTTTTCTTTAAACTACTGTTTTCTAATAATAATGTTTCAATCTCTTTATGGGCACTATTTAATTGGTAAGTTAACTTAGCAATTTCGTCTTTCATTAATTTTATTTGTTTTTGTTCGTCTTCATCCTCGGAAATATCCGGCATACTGCTAGTTGTACAGTTCAAAGTTTGTGAGATGACGTCACTGTCATCATTGCTTGGTTCGGAACGTGTGCGGTGTCGTCTAAACGTTATATTTTCCAAGAAATTCATTTTTTTTTAATTCGAATTAAACTCCAAAAAGTGCTTAAAGATCTGGGACTCGAACCTCTGCACTTCGTCACACAAGTCTGGGCGAATACCACCAGATCAAGTCGTACATTAAATAGTTGTTTGAATTAGCTCGTCTCTAAGTTAATTCAGTTGGTGAATTACTGATCAAATAGATGGCTCGCAGTTGTGTTATTTTATTTAAATCAATACCTTTTTCTTCGAAATATTTGTTCTTGTATTTTACCAAGGAGAAACAGCCATACTTTGATGAATCAATCTGCTTACAAAACGCACAAAAAGTGAAAGACGTTACTGAGTTTCGAACTCGTGTCCACTCACATGTGCATAGTATTTAAAGTCCACGTCATGTGCATTCAGCCATTCGAACATATTAACTTGTGACAAAATTAAAGTACTGCTTAGAGAAAGTTCTTTTCAAGAAAAATAGAGGGTCAATATCCTTTTTGTTTATTTTCAATTTTGGCGGTTGATGTTTTTATTTTTCAAATTACTGTTATGCACTTTTACACACATTTGATTTGTTATTGTTATTAATTGATGTTATTTATTAGTTATTTCAAACACAATTTCAAGTTCATATGCAAAATCAATTATGTTTCTTGACATTTAGGTCGGCTATGAGTTACGAGTTTAAGTGGTTATAATTGCACTATTTATGAGTTTTACTTTTGGATAACACTTGCACTTGGTAATTAGTTGTTAAATTGTCGATGTAGTTGGTTTTATTAACTTTTATGCACTACTAATATTTTGAAAAGAAATTTAAAATGCGGCGCGTCTACTTTTACGTCGAGCTCGGTGCAGCGCCACCTAGCGGACTTCAAACTCCTAATCCTCAAAAGGCCGGTAACGAACTTGTTCCAGGTGTCCATGGGTGACGCCGATTGCTTACTATGCCATAAAAATATCCATTAAATATATGCCATAAAAAATATCATAATGCTGCTTCAATTTAGAACCAGACTTCGATGGGTTGGACTCTGATTGGTGAAGTGGTTTGTTAATCATCTGCAACTTATAGTGTCACAACTTTGCTTTCCATATAGAAAAAACATTTTATTTTGCGTGTATCGTAATCCGTTGCGTAGTTTTAAAGATCTAAGCATACATAGGGACAGACAGACGCGGATAGCGACTTTGTTTTATACTATGTAGTGATATGTCTATTAACACACCCCACAGGAGATCCTAGAGAAGGGCCAAGGGTCATTTTCAAAAAAAAATCTTTGTATTAGTTTTTAATACTTACTTGAATACGATGATTGTATCTGTCAGCTATGATGTACTGTCCAATTCTATTGACAGCTACACCGGCCAGGCAGTCAAATTCTCCTTCGCCGCTGCCGTACTGACCGAACTCTTTGACGAAAATACCGTTAGAATCGAACACCTGCGGGCAAAAGGACCATTAGAACCACTTTAGCTGAAAAAGGTCGTTAGAACATTCGTTTCTGTTTTTAGACACGTTGTTTACTCATTTGTAACAAAAAATGTCTAATGTATTGTTACATGTGCATATATTTAAATGTATGTATGTTTTTGAATTTGTTTGAGATTATTGAGAATGAATTTTTGTGTATACGTTTTTAAAACTCAGATGGAATATATTGGAACATATTATTTTGGCCGGTATTAACTATTTAACAGTTTCAAAATTAAGAACTGAAAATCGTAGCATGAAATATATTATTCATCATTTTAATACTATAAAACATGATTTAAATGAAAACAGAAAGGAAAATGAGCACTCATTTTTATTTTTATTAGTATCAACTCAGACTTGTATCGAATCAAGATGCATAAGAATTGATCGAAAGTACTTTCTGCTGCATATTTGTGATTCCGTTTGTATTATTTTCACTGTATACTTTTGTTCAGATGAGATTTATCCACTCAAACAAATTTCGACCTTATATCATTTATTTATACGTTCTCAAGTACTTGTGTGATCCGAAATAGATTTCCAATTAACCAAGCTGTGTTTACGTCCCCATTAAAATTGGAATAGTTCGAAATTTTTGTTTTGACCTTGTGCCAAAATGGAGAACGCGCGTTCAACATCACTTCATCATTAATTTATATTTGGAGCTACGGTCATCGAGTATAATTTACAACGAAAACTTATGATACTTTCTCTTCTGCAACGTTTTTAAATAAAATTGCATACTTTCTGAACTGGAAATGTGATTGCATGGAATAGGATTTCAATATTTAAAGCTTACATAAATAGTAAATACATTAGATTTGCATATTTATATCGACTTTGTCGTTGAAATGAATTTTCGATTCAGTGGAGTTTACAGTTGTTAACGAGTATTTCAGTAGTTTAGATTTCTTTTAGGTATTTATTTCTTTAAGCATGGTTATTTCCAACTTTATTAAAAAAATAATAATTATGTTTCAAATTTTTATGAATTGGTATTAAAAAGGATTCTTACCTGCACTCTGTGGTTAGATGAATCAGCCACGACCATAGTATTGTCGGGACCTACAGCGATACCACGAGGCCAAGTAAAGCATCCGGGTTCGCTCCCCCGACTCCCCACGCTGAATTGTAAACGGCGTTTCTGCATGTACTGGCTCCTAGGGGAGGAACCGGCTGCTGCGAAACCTAACATCAGAAAAATCGATTACTTTACAAGAATATAACCAAACATAAAACCATCTGGAAAACCAAACCTAAGCACTCAATCTATGTACACGCCAGTTGTTTTCTATCTAACCTGCTACCGCTGCTGTAGCCGCCGTAGGGGAGATGGGGGAGCCTGCCGCGTTTTTTGAATCGTCATCAGAACTGGCAAGCTCGTTTGCCGAGCGTAAAGGTAGCCCGAGAGACAGGCGACGGGATGTGCTCGACGATGTACTCGAAGGATCGCGATCCTTGCCCCGCGACCCGTACTTGTTCTTCAAATATCTCGCCCAAGAACTGAGAGCCGCTCCGTCTTTTTCACCGGGGGCCGGCCGTTCAGGCGAGCTCTCTCGTGACTTCAGTGCGTGTGAAGATCGGCTACGAGACAACTCCGAACCACCAGTGCCGGAGCCGTATCGAGCCGCAAGGTACGCAGAAGGCGATGCTGTTGTGGGTGACACCGGATCGTCCTGATCGTCGTCGTCTCCTGCACCAAAACCGGTGTGACTGCTCTTACTTCTTGCGAGACGGTTGCGGCGCTCTTTCAGGGCGAGGTATCTGGATCTAGCCGTGGGATATTTTGTCTCATCATCCAAAGATGATGGCGGTTCTTCTTCTCTTGGCTTGCTACCATATCTGTTGCTCAACGAAGACCCAGCACTGTACCTAGGTGCAGGCTCTTCTTCTGTCTGTGATGACTGTCTCGTGCGGTATCGCGACTGTGAAGGAGACTCTTTCGTTTTATTTTCAACGGCATCGTTACGGGCATTATTGCTACGCGCGAGTAGTGGACCGATGTCACTTCGAGCCATCGCCTGGCTCTCGGGCTTCCTTTGCGTGACAGGCTCCTCGTCACTCTCCTCCGACGAGTCAGTTTCTTCTTCGGAGCTCGTGTCGGAGTCTTCGTGAACCGGCTCGGCGGGTGCCGGTGCAGGTGTGGGTCGCTGAGAGCCGATAAACCGACTCTGAACCCGTTGCGCGCCACCAGCTGTGCCGTTAGTTGCCGCTGGTGCTGTTCTCTCGTTGCCTGCGGAAGAGAAACGAGATCCAGAAGTTGTTGCAGGCGCGCTAGGGCTGTATTTTGCTTTTAATTCTGCGATGCTTAAAATGGCACCTGTATGTTTCACCGCCGAGCCGGAGCTTTCAGTAGAGGCGCTAGATTCCGTGCTCGGAGCACGAGCGGCGGGACGGTGAGGAGCTGGCGTTTCAGTGGCTGAGGGTCTCCTCGTAGTTGTGACTGGCTTTTGTGGTGCAGGCGCATTTTTACGCTGGTTTCGCTGCAGAGATCCAACTGATTCATCGGATTCACCGTCACTGGACGCCTGAGAAATTACATGTAAATCGATATTGACACGAAACGGTAGGTTTTTTTATTGTAGTATTTGTGTGTGTATACATAAATGAGTTAGCTGTGTACGGAGTGTATTTTATGGAATGCAGTTAGTTTTGCATTTTTTTTTCTTGTTAGTATCGATGATTTCTTAATATCTATTTTGTACTCTTGGCTTAGGTTTCACTCTCTATCTTCTTCCCAACTCACCTCCCGCGCTGGTGTAGGCGGTTTACGATTAACTGGGGTACGTTCTTCTTCTGCTGGTCGAGCTGGTGCACGTTCAGGTTCTTGTGAAGAAGCAGCGGCGCCTTTGTTTTGTCTTTTGAGACGTGATATTTCATCATCTTCACTTTGTTGCCTTTGCGCTGGTGGTGGACGCTGACGCGGCTGAGGTGCGGGCTGGACGGGCTTAGGAGGTGGTGGAGGAGGTTCTTTTTTTTCTTTCTTCTTTCCACTGTCAACGTCTAATATCCTCTGCATTACACGCGTACAGTCGCTTAATCGGAATATACCACTAAGTGGCCCTCGGGTAGCATCTTCAGTATCGACGACCTTCTCCTTCTCTTTTTCTTTTTGTTCGGCTTTAGTTGCACGAGTAGTTTGTTCTGAGTCAGAGTCATTATCTAGGTGACTTTTGACAAAACGAGAACGGAACCTAGATCTCGCTGGCCTATGTTCTGATTCATACCCGCTGTAATCATCAGTAGCACCATAGTCCCTTGTATGTTTTTCAGGTGGAGGAGGACGGCGTTCACCAAATTTACGACCGCCTAGTATGGGCTCATCATTCTCCTGCCAACCCTTTGCTTCTTCTTGTTGGCGGAACTGTGTAGCTAGACGGTGGTCACTCTTTGACCTTGTCAAACCTTGGTTCTGTTGCATACTAGAGGAGTATGCATTAGGTTGAGTGATATTCAGTTCACCGTAGCTTGCAACATGCATAACCAACTGGTTCGGGTCGTGGGTCATGATAAACCGTACTCTACGGTTGTAATCACCCGCTTCGTAATCGAAGTTTCTGAGGAACTCGACCGTTTTCAAGAAAATTTCTTTAGTATCTACTAACTCGGTATCTTCCCATTCTACGTCGTCGTTCATATATTTATCGGCGAGATCACAATTACTTTGTATATTACTTAATTCTAACTCTAAGTTATCTTTCAGATTAGTGAGGTTTCTAAGTTCAGTAGCAAGGTAGCGATCAACTTCGTTTCTTAAGAAATCGGTTCTATCTTTTAGCGCCTTGGCTAGTCTTTTATGAATTTCGTCGACTTCTCCAGCCACAGCTCCACAGTTGGTCTGAAGATTTATTGTGTTACGTTCAACTACTCCAAGGATGTCTTGTAGCCTGTTGAGACCACGGCGTATTTGATTGTTGATTCTAGAAATTTCTCTACGTAAAACTTCCATGTGAGCTGACTTACAGTCTTCGCAGACTTTTTTGTCGCAATGGGCACATGGCGCACAGTACGCTTTTTCTGAGCATACATTGCATCTTTCCATTACTTGCCCTGCCGTTGGGTCTGGAAGCTCTCCAGCGATGTTTGCATGAAGTTCCAAAAACCTCTGGAGAGTTACATTTGTTGGGAATCCCTGAACACCTTGGTATGGGATTCTGTGCTCGGCACGGCATTCTGGACATTTCACCTGTAAAAAAATGTGAATTTAGATTTTTGACAATGAAATAAGGTGCCATTCAAACCTTTGAAAACCATGCAGTATTTCGTGGAAAAATATTACACATAACATTTTACCTTTATACCAGATGGCTCTGAAGTTGCATTTTGAAGACTTGTAAGCAATAGTTAGACTAACTATAACACTAGTTAATATCTAACTACTTGTAGTCTAACCATATTTTTCATCTTCTACATACCTGTCGCCTGACATAGTCGACAAGGCCGTCCATACACGGCTCCATACAAAAACTGTGCTGACATGGCAACAGCTTGGGATTCCTGTACCGGTCGAGGCAGACGCAGCACGTCAATAGTGACTCGAACTGCTCCATAGTTGCTTAGTGCTGGTTACGTACCTGTTAAGAAATGGAAATAGTAAATTATATGGTTCTTTCAAAAGTTATACGATTAAGAAATTTACTAGCATAGGGATAAGCTACAAATTCATTTTAAATGAACTGACGTACAAGTAGGTTATTAGTTACACTGTTCTTTTCAATACTGATCCTATAATAATGAAACCTCACTACCAACTAAAATTGTATAAAGAATATATCATAAAACATACTCGATACTAACAGTACAGAAACTCGATATCGAGATATTGAAAACCTAAACGTCTGCTAATGTGTTTTTGAAATATCTATACCTATATCATTTATCAATGGCTTCCAAGAATAAGGGAAAACATCGTGAGAAAACCTACACGTTCATAATGGCGTCTAATGTATCTGGAAGGTGCGTAATGCTTTTGAAAATGATGGCAGTAAGTGAACTACTGATGTTTTATCTATTGACACTTCTTAATTTGAAGTTTTTTGGGATAGAAACCATAATTATAGTAGATGTATAAAATTTTGATCTTAGGTTTCAAGTGTTCCATGTAGAATTTTTCGCAATTTTTTTTATGGGATAAGCCGGTAAACGAGCTGACGGATCACCTGATGATAAGCCATTGGCATCGCCTATGGAATCCCGCAACACCATAGGCGTTATTCTTTTGGTAATTAGGAATTTGAGAATTGTCGGAGATTATTTGAACAATAAATAATATTTATCGTGTCATTAGTATCTAAACTTATAATTTGGTTATTTACACGATTACTTTTATTATAATCACTGTGCACTAAAATTTTAAAACATAATACCCTTAACTGTTTCTCAGCCGTTTAATCACTATAGCATCAAGATGAACTATTTTAGCCAATTATATTTAAAGTAATCTAATTTTAAAATCTACCGGAGTAGTATACATCAAACAGTGAAGTCGGATGTTTAACTAACCTGCACGGATGCGTGGCGCTACTGATGAAGGATAGTCTTTCATGTTTGATATTTGAGGTGCTCTAATGAATATTAGAACCATATTTAAATATCATACGATTATGAAATAGTTTATACTACGAATGAGTGACGAATTTATATGTTTTGTTTGTGTTTCAGATTTATTTTTTAACTTAATACGTGGGATGTAGGTCCGTTCACATTCACACAAACTGATGTAAAATCTATTTTTAAAATTAAAATCAGAGGAAATCGATTAATTCTCTGAAAATAACACTCGTTTCCCGTCTATACTCTCAGTTCATAATATTTAGATCATAATCTCAAACTGAAATCTCAAGAAGGAAAGATTTCGATTAGATTTGCATTAATATGCGATTTGGGGACGAAGACAGAGATCCAATATTGATCAATCGTATTTCTTCGGGAGGTGAAATTTTCATTTAAAATTCAGTCGACGAGACTTATGACATTGAGCGCTCCGAATATTTAAAGGGCTATAAGGAATATTCTATTCACAAGGAAGCGATGGAAATAAAGGTATTGGCTAAACTATTCACAAAGTTTTGCCAACGGATTTATCCTACGGGATAACCTTTCACAGTTAAACGACCTTCACTAATATAGAATTTTATAGCATCAGACGCATAGTTATAGCTATGGTTGAAGCTCAGAAGTTAAATTTGGTGTTCGCACAAGACATCCTCTGAGATCCGGACGGTTTATAAATAGAAGCGTTTGGTATTTTACACGCCTGCTTTACTGGACGTTTAGTCACGACTTCGGCAAATGATTTTGAACCATAAGGTAAGAGGCATAAAACAGGTGTTGCAAAGAAGGCACATATCCTAACATTTCAGCTGTTACATCAGGAAATACTGGCGAAAATAATGATTTTGAATCTTATAGTGTGAAGCGTAAAGTGGAAATTGGGATGAATGTAAATATTTGTCAAATCATTCTCGTGGTTTTATACATACGTCGAGAAATGTACATCTACGTAGTCATTTTGAGTCTTGTGACACAAATCATAAAGTGTTATCCACATGAGAATTTGTGAAGTCAAAACTTATTTCAGAGTTTCCGTCAGTTTAGTTATCACGGTTTTAAGAACTCCAATGCAAGAGGAATAGAGCAGAAATTCCGTTACAAATGTGGTTAGTTAAACTGTTGCTTAAAATTTAGAATTTATAGAATTTTAAAATACACCATTTTTACTTTTTTATCTTCAAGTATGTCTTTTTGTAACAATTCTTATTGTGTGCGATATTTGTGTGATTACAATGTTATAAACAAAAAATAATTTTGGTAATAATGATAGGACAGATTATCTATCTTATATGAATTTAGAACAAAGCTTACAGAAAAGGTTAGTTTCATAACCTAAGAAATATGGTAAAGGCTATTCAGAAGCATCAAGTATTTTCTGATCGTTTCTGATGAAATGCCGCTAAGAGTTAGGTAATAGAAATGACACAAAAATACTTCAAAAAATCTAGTTTCTTTTCAAGAATCTGTGTTGGAGTGTCTAGTAATTAGTTCGAGTGTGTCGATGGCTGAGTTGGCTCTGCCTAGCTCCCCTGACTCATTAGGTGTCATTACTCAATAGGTAACTGGGTTATTTGTGAATGGTGACATATTCTCTTTTTTAGATTTCGCTTCATCACGAGCCTTAGATGTTTGTGTGGAGAAATTCTTGTTGCATGACTATTTGGTTTTTACGTTGCAATTGTGTTTATTATATACTTAACTTAAATTCGGTTTCTTTTAAAATATAATTTTATGTTTGTATCACAAATAAGCACTAATAGAATTGACTAATTCGTTGATTCTATTTTCAATCACCTCGTAAGTATCAAAAACTGTTTCAGTATTATCTTTATGAATAAACTTATGACTAAATATTCTTATAAATATTCCCGAATGTAACAAATTCACATCATTCCTATCTTTACCTAGTGTTTGTTCAGTTTCGTCTGTGACGGAGTGAATAAATTTAGAAAGAATCGCGTCATGTAGCACGTCACAAAACAAATAGGATTTGCTCTGACGTACAAAACTACATCATGGACCAAAATGTTTTAGATTTTATCTATCTTCGTCTTCTCTAATCAAGAGGTCGTCCGTTGGTAAAATATCTAATTTTCTTGCTAATGTTTCTTTAAATGGAAATTCAGATTCTGCAATACATTTAATTTTTTACGTAGATTAAGTCGTTGCTTTATTGTCAGTCCTTTGCCCTCATTAACATTACCTATACGATTTGATATTGTTACTTTATTGGAATAAAAGTAGATTGTTATCAAAATTATTTTCTTGTTTGCGAGTAATGTCAGATTTATTTGATTGATTAACTGGAGAAATATCTAACATGTCCGATTTTGATTGGTCGGCAAAGTCAAACTAATTGGCTTGATATTTTGATGTACCTATGCTTTCAAATATTGGAATAGCTTCAGCTATATTGACTGCCTAATTATCAGGAAAGGTTACTTTATTTAATTGTTTTTTATACATACGTAATGATGAATTATTTTTTGCTTATGGCAACTTTTATTGAAATGAACCATATATTTTATCTTATTTTATATTGCAACTCCTGTGTTATATTATGTCACTATCAGAATATAGAAGTTGTAAGTATATTAACCACGCAAGCTTTATAAATACAACTCTTTCGAATTCCGCATATTTTTCGCGCGCTTCACCTATTAATATTCTCTAGATAAACAAAACATTCACATCATTATAAAACCCGAAGCTCGATGTTTTGTTTCCAGCGTTAATATATTAATTTACATTGCGTGGGATGTTATGAACATATTCCGCTGCTTTCCTTGTGAGCGTGTAATGGAAACGTCATTATTATTTTTAGTCGTTTTGGCAGACGGTTTATTTTTTTTTTACTTCTCATTGAACACTTTGAATCACTTTTCTACGTATTTGGCTTACACACAAAAGCTTTTGTGTGTTTGTTACACGTTTTCTTTGAATTTTGTATAAAAGCATTGTTTCATGGTTCCGGGGTAATTAAATCACGATTTATTTTATTTGAATGAATGTTTTACAAAGGGGGACTTCATGCCACAGACATTTCGTGCGATCTAGCGTTCATAAACATGTATGTACTTAAATAGGATAAATATAAAAAGGCACTCTTCTAAGTACAATAAATATAATATAATGTGCCTATAATTATTTTTTTGTATATGCTATATAGTATAAAATAAATAAATATCATGCCTTTTATCCCCGAAGGGGTAGGCCACTTGTACTATGTAACACCCACTTTTCACTACTTATGTTATGAGTCCCATGACGTGACGTCACAATTCACAATCTCGTATAAAAGTTCATAGAAAACTGTCGTTTTTGACAGTTCGAAAAAAGTATTGAATTTAAATAAAAGTAGTTGGAAAGTAGGTACCCAATTACACGCCTTGATATTTATTACAATATGCCACACAAAAGAGTAATAAACCTAGAGATTGCTACAATTGTCAACTAAGAAATAAAAACTTCTGTCTTAAAAGTGTCTATTTAGAATCACAGGTACGACTTGATAGATTGATAAGGTAATTAATTTACTAACAGCTACCTTCACTAGCGCTGATCGGAATAAACGAAAATTAAAATTAGTTCTTGGTTTAATCAAGTTTCCTAGAAACATACGTTCTACAAAGTCAATTTTATAGCTCATGAAAGAATTTAGATTGATGTGACCTAAAATCTGGGAAAATATTTGAGCATTTTATCAGCATATGCGAGACATCGTACTTCTTGACATTTCTCCGAAATAAAACCTAGTATAAATGCACGGACGCATTAAGCGTTTGTTTTTTTTGTTTGATTGTTTGAACGCGCTAATCTCCGTAACTATAAGTCTGATTTGAATAATTATTTTTGTGTCGGATAGCGCATTTATTGAGGATGGCTATAGGCTATAAAACATCACGCTACGACCAATATGAGCTGAGCAGAGCGTGTGAAACCGCGCGGAAATAGCTAGTAACTGTATAAAATACGACACAAACATACTAGAGGTAAT